AGAAATAAACGTTCGGAACCTTACTATCATCCTTTTTATTATGAAGAGCGTTGAGAGAAGGGAGTCTTACGATCCGGTCCTGAGAAATACCACATGGTATATATATTAGGTCTTTAGGGAAATCGCTAAGTAGTGAAACATTTGCTATATTGAGAACCAGAAAGTGTTGCAAGGATTGTCGTCCTTGGTGTTACTTATGCTTTTTTTATTTTTTTTACTGATATATTTTTGAAAATGTTCCCGAAATATTAAATATTAAAACAATTTTTGAAATATATTTTTCTTAAATTATAAATGAAGAAGAAAATCATGATAATAACATACTTTAATAAGTGTTTTCTATTAAATTAAATAAATAAGTGTTGAACTATTAACTTGAAGCAACCATACAACATGTTTTAATTCAAATTTATGTGTAGGATAATAGATTAGATATTAGATTTTAACAGGGTATTGAAGGGCAATGACAATGAGGATAGTGAAGACGACTTTCGATTACAATTTTGATTTATATCAAGCTTTTAAACATCATGGATACACAAAACGTGGAAACAAAGAGAAATTGTCAGTTTTTGAACTTTTAATTAGAAAAAAGCTTTTCAATAATCAAAACTTAAATTAAAAAAGTTGTTTTCATTGTATTGATATAATCGTCGACCACTTTTTTTTAACTTTAGCAATTACAAAAAATTTTAAATCTGTATTTAAAGTTGATTTCTATAAATTTGACATAAACTAATAAAAGCTTGAAAATTGAAATTTGTGAATCCATGATGGTGCAAATATGTCAATTATCAATTGTGTAATCTTCGAAAAATTTTTAAATACAAATTGAAAAAAAACAATTCAATTAATATTTTCAGGGATATTGGGGCGAGGAAGAGGAAAAAATAAAGAAAAAACTCATGAGGTAGGAATCTTTCAAATACAGGCTGAGAAATATCTTTTTTTTGTGCAAACAGAAAAATTTTAGTGATAATTTTCTTTCTTATAGTTACTCTCTGATTTCAAATATAAAAATACAACATGTTCTTTAAGCTTTTTATGTTTCTAAAAAATTTGATCAATTCTTCAATGTTTTGTTCAAATGTTGTTGGAGTAATTTTGTGATAAAAAAGTATATTTTCTGACTTTGAATCTAATCTATATTGTCTGTGGAGTCTATACCTATTTTGAAAAATCAACTCTAAAGGGGACTCACTCTAATAACTATATTGTCAATGATCCATTTAGATAAGCACGATGTATTAGTTTAATGACGATTGATGCATCATGGCAATTAAAAACAAACCTGGGTCAAAATGTCGTCTTCACGCAATCCATAATTTTTTGACAATTGCCACAGACTAACCAGACTGCGCATATGCTCTACTCGTTTATAGTTTCCCGGCACGCCATGCTACAGTTTCATGAAAGGTTTTTGACTGCCATCTAACGGCCATTTGTTGCCTCATAGTAATACCCATTCAGGGGTTAAGTTTTACGACATTTACAGAAATACTCAAATTTTTTACATTAAACATACCATTTCTGAATTAAGTCCCCCCCCCCCATATGATTTTGCCCTTAGAGTTGAGATAGTTGTCCCTAGTCAAACTTTTCAAGGCATGTTCATTACAAAAAAAATTAGACCTCTGACTTAAATGGTTTAAAAGTTCAAAAAGTAGGTTGAACATTTTTTTAAAAATAATTATTTTTACTTTTGACAAATATTAACTTATGACACATGTTATTATACCCATTTTTCAAGGGCTTTTTAAATATTTAAGTCTTAGCCCTGTACCTTGATAAGTAAAAAGGTTATTGACTATTTCAGATTTTTTTTTGAAACACCAACCCAGTAATTGACCGTCCTCCACTCTACCCACTTAGCAAAATTTGTTAACAGCTTTTATGTTAAAAATGTGAAGAAGTTTTGGCGTTCTAATATCGGCCGTTTTTAAGTTATTCAGAAGAACCCATAAGGGGGGGGCACCCCCCCCCCCCTCCCCAATCGTAATTGGTTTAAGTATTTCTTTAATTCTGTCTTCCTATTCCACATTTTTCTAGTTCCTACTGTATTGTCAACTCTAATTTTCTAGTTCCTACTGTACTGTCAACTCTAATTTTCTAGTTCCTACTGTATTGTCAACTCTAATTTTCTAGTTCCTACTGTATTGTCAACTCTAATTTTCTAGTTCCTACTGTATTGTCAACTCTAATTTTCTAGTTCCTACTGTATTGTCAACTCTAATTTTCTAGTTCCTACTGTATAGTCAACTCTAATTTTCTAGTTCCTACTGTACTGTCAACTCTAATTTTCTAGTTCCTACTGTTCTGTCAACTCATTTTCATGTTTACTATTGAGGATAGAGGAAGGTTGTTTCAAAAGAGATGAGATAACTTTAACGGTCATTATATGTTTAACCCTTTAAAATTCAAGAAAGTTCAAGATGATAGTGTTAAAATGAGAGTACTATAGGACCCAGCTTGTTTATGGTTTGTGTATTTTTACAAATACTGAAAACTTTTTATTCATTGAATCATTGTTTAATTTTTGCAATAATACCCTTCCCTGTTGTCTTGTGATAAAGAAAGCATGAAAAAATTTGGAAAACTTTAACTAAATTCTATATTTACAAGTTAATACTTGTAACAATCAGGAGGAAATTTAAACTTTTTAAACTTGAAACCTTTCAACATAATATTGAAAAATTTGATGTTACAAATGCATATAATGAATATGCATATGTGGCATTATATTATATAAAGTGCTAAATCTCATTTTTAGAGTTCATGCCGGTTAAAATGAAAAAAATGTCATCCACATAATTTTATTCTTCAAAAATAGATTTGATCGTTATTTTATAAAGTGTAAAATAGTAATACAAAATCTAAATTTATAAAAAATCAAATTTAACAAAATCTATTTTAAAATTTTATTTCATGAAAAACTGGTATTGCATTGTTAGAAAAAAAACTAACAATCTATCAAAACTACAGATATCTTTTCAGAGCCCGCGATTTAAAAACTCGGGAAAATACGGCTCGGGTCTAAGCTGTTGTTGAGCCTTTTTTACGACTTGAGCTTTCGGATTCAAGCTGCATCTTTTTTTCCACATAGTTGAGTTCAAAAACCGGTTTAATATTCTATTTTGTATTTGGCGGATTTTCATAGGAATTGCACATTCCGGGTTTTTATGAGAACAAAACTCAACATTGAGCCTTATTCTCTATTAAAACCAACCAAGGTCGATTTTATTTTCATTGGGCCTAACTCCTTAAGTCGAGCCGAAGATCTTACAGCTGTCAATCACGTGACACAAGCTGTCGTCAGACTTGGGCCGAAGATTGGGTCTTAAAGTCGGGTTTAAGGGATTACGGCTCGAACCGAAGTTTTTAAATCGCGGGCTCAGTATTTATTTATGAAATGAATTCCTCTCTGAATAGTATAACCAATGGAAATTTTAATTTATCCCATATTATTTGTCTGTTTTTATCAAAAAGACATTTTTGCAACATATAACAATAATTACCTTCCAACTTTTAAAGATACGTTACATGTACATATAGAGCAGAATTGTTTTGAATTTTTTAAACAACAAATGCTTTTTCGATCTGGGGTTTCGAAACAAATCTTCGATATATTCCCTTTGCTACGGTCATATTTTTACTCTGATGAACTGCCATCATTTCTAAAAAAAAGTTTACAATTATTAAGATAAATTTAAGACTGCGACAAACAGTTTTTAAAAAAAAAGTTTTGATAATGAAAATTTCAATGTTCCTCCTTCTTTGTATACAGGTCATACAGGAGACTCATAAAACTAAAAGTGTGGAATATAAAGACGACTGTAAAATTCAAGTTCACTTTTTCGATGCACGCGAACATGGACAATACAAGTTGTGCAGTGTACACAGACACATGTCACCCAATATTTTCAATCAAATGCACCCTGACCTATTTGCATAAGATTGCTTAGATGGAAAAATATGCATTGTTGTGTTATATATATTGCCGTTTTTAATATCAAACCTTTCTTTTGCGGTTAAAATTCCACTGCAATATGAAGAACTTTTTTTACAGATGTAAGAAGCAGGGAATTAAAAAATGTCCAACAGTCGCCTTTAAAGTCTCAATTTTTTTTGGTCACCCTGTATCATTTTGTTCATTACCTTGTAATGCAGCTTTTGTTTTTTCTCTTAGTGTCTCAGGTGTTTCATTTGGAACTGGGTAAATTGGAACACCTTAATAGAATCTAAAAATTAGTCTTTATACACACAAGGTGATCAGAGCTGAAAACTTTAGAATGGTGCATATCGAGATCAATACTGGATCCCCGAGATTAGGTTAATATGTATTCTTTATCCAAGAAAAAGTTTAAAATTTAACCAATCAGCGTGGTCTTGTTAAGAAACGAAAGGATGCCTTCACTTTCTCACCGATTTATTCACTACTACATTAATTATAAAAAAAAACCCGAACTCAAAGGAATTGAGTCTTTGCCACAAACTCAAATTTTCGAATGTCAATATCTTACCAACCTGATTACGTAAACCTTTGATATTTCAAGCTTAGAATGTTTTGTCTAAAAAGATTCATAGTTTGAAATATCAAAGGTTTACGACTTTGGGTTGCAAAGATATAGGGATTAGAAAATCAGAGATTGTGACAAAGGCTCAATTCATTTCATTAAATAATTAACATGTTTCTCGTATATTTACAGTTAATCACATATTTCCAATATGGCCGACATAAACCTAAACTTAAGAACTTGAAACTTTTACGGAGGTCGATCATTGGTTAGAGTTTATAATTAAGTCTCTGATTGGTCAACACAATTTACAAACTTTCCCGCATTCGTCGTATTCCAGTACATGGTTATCTAAAAGAACGGTTTAAGAAGAAAATAAAAAGCATGTGTCCATTGGAAATTCAGATTAAGTAATCGGGATTAAAGGGAGTGTTCGTGAAAAATGAAAGGGGGTATAGGCTTAATGCGATAAAAAAGCGCTTTTTATCGCTACTAATCTTACTTCTATCTGTTGCGTCTATAAGGAGAAAATTGTTAAAGACGTCTCATACCGAATAACATGGCGTCAATACAAATTGAGAAAATTTCAACATACGACTTAGACCGTAAAAAATCAATTTAATTTCAAACAAATCATTCAGATATTACAACCTATAGTCATCGATTATCTTTCGCCACATTTGTATATATTTGATATTTCATACTAGTTTTGATTTTGTTTTTTTAAATAATATTTAGCTTACAACTTGTTTTCGAACATTCCTAGAAAATATGAAAATGTCGTCTTCATTTCCAAAAATCCTCGAAACAGGAATAAATGGTTTTTTTTAAAGTAACTCTCAGATCATAACAATTAAAACATGTTATGAAAAATCAATAATATATAAATGAGGCGAAAGATAATCGATGACTATAGGTTGTAATATCTGAATGATTTATTTGAAATTAAATTGATTTTTTTACGGTCTAAGTTTATGTTTTTGATAAAACATTAAACTTTTTATCATTTACTAAAATTGCATTTTCTATAAGTTTGCTTTTAAATTGTACAATATTTTAATATCTGACAGTATATTAACTAAACTGATTTTTTTTATTCTTTGATAAACAATTTTTATATTTGATATATATAACTAAAGAAATGAATTTACACATTTTTTTGTCCTGATCTGAAATAGAAATAACTTTTTATCAACTAAACTCAAATAATAAATCAGTCATGATTTTAGTTTTTAAGATTTTTTAAAACGAGAATTTGCTATATAGTTTGTATTTGGAGATTTATTCACAATTTACTGCAGGGTGTCCCAATAAACATGGGAATTCAGTGACGAATTCGATATCGTCTTTTCAAATAATTCTTTGATTTAGTATAGTGATACCTACTGAGAAAGCTGTAATCTGTAAGAGTTTCGTCTGCTATGTTCACATTTTGTTTGTTTATGTTTTGAATGCAAACATAAGGATGTACTTGGTAAAACAAGAAAATTGCAGTATACAAACAGAGTAAACTTGTCCGTCTTCACTTTTCATCTTGCGGAGACATTATAGACAATACTTTACAGTCTTCTAACCTTTTCATAAAATTAACTGTAGCAGACATAATAATATTATGGATTTTGAAATTAGGTATTACAATGCTAATCATAACAAAGACGATATCCAAGTCGTCACTGAATTCCCATGTTTTTTGGGACACCCTGTATGATACAATTTTAGCGAACACTCTCTTTCAGCGAAAAATTCATGTTATTTACCTATATGTGTTGTTAGTTTTACTGGAAATCCACCCCAAATAGGAATAATAGGTAATCTTGTAGCTTCGAATATATATCTCCAAACTGGTCTAAAGCTCTTCATGGTAGCGTAGGCCTATCACAAATAGAAATTATAAAGCGTTCTGAAGTTTGAAGAAAAAATGGCAGCATGAAAGCAATATTTAAAAGCTAAAATTGATATTAGTAAAAAGGGTGACTTTCAAACAAAAGGGCTATTTTTGTCTTATATAGAAAGGGCCATCTTCTGATTTTGCCCTCAAGAAGCATAACATATGTAAGTAATATTTTTCAAAAGGAAAAACAAGTATTTTAAAAAAAATTGTCTGACCTACTGTTTGAACATTTTTTAAAGCCTTCCTATTTTTTATAAGCTGGCCTTGAAAAGTAGGACTACATGTATCACACTCCTGAGATAGGGGAGTGTGATACATGTAGTCCTACTTTTTAAGACCAGCTTATAAAAAAGTTTAATGGTAAGGGGGGAAAGAAGGCTTTAAAAAATGTTCAAATAGTAGGTCAGACAATTTTTTAAAAAATACTTGTTTTTACTTTTGAAAAATGTAACAAACATATGTTATTGCATCTATTCTTTAAAGAATTTTCAAAAAAATACATTTTAGATTTAGAATATGGGATTCATAAGTTCTGAGCTCTGAGCATCATTAAAAAATCTTACCACAGAAATATTCTCTGTATAAAGAGGAATTATTGGAACATTGGCCTCGATTGCAATTCTAGCAAACCCTGTTCTTTTCCCCCACTGTAAACTAAACTCCTGAAATTAAAATAAGAATTTTTTGTTCAATCAGAGCTGAGATTTTAAAAGATTAAACCCGAGTAAACAAAGCTTATTGAAAATTGAAAGACTCGAACGCAGAAGTAAACCCCAATTTAGAATTGGTTCTGATTCGACCTTTGAGAAACTGGTTAGAAAGCTTTCTCTCTGTAGCAGACAGACCAGGAAATGTATATGTCGAAATTTTGGACTGTTTATATCATACCTTTGATAAAATTTGACACTTCAAATAAAAAGATTTTAAATGTACAAATATAATCGATTAAACAAAATTTACAATCATCAACGGTTGAAGACCTGAGCCTTCAATAGCGAAACCAGTTGGTTTTACTAAACACAAGGCCATCCAAAACCCTAGTCTTGAGTTGAGCTTTAAGTAGACCCTAAGACCGGGGTTTCCTCAGGATAAGATTCTAAAATCTTAGCTCAGATGTCCTTTTATAGCATTGTATTTTTATTTAATTAACAGGATATTTCATAAACAGGTTTTAAGTATTTATTATTTTAATTTACAACATCCTATGAATTCTATGAAAATTATATTTTTGATCACGTTATTATTATTCATTATCATACATGCACACGCATAACACTGTTAAAGACGACATTTCCACAATCTTGTGTGTATTTGATGCTGTTATCACGTTGTACCAGTATATATTATGTTATTGTATCTCATATTTGTTGTACAACAGTGATCGGTGTTTATATTAATACAATCAAGACGACTTTTCTGTCTACGTTTTGATTTCTAACAAGCTGTTTTCAAATTACAAATTTATAAGTTCAAAATTTGGGTAGAAACAAAAATTTGAAATCGAAAGTCGTCTTCATTGAGCAGATTTATACGACGACGACTGTATTTAAAATCATAACCCAATTTTTAGAGTCGTCTTCATAATCACATTTATAAGAGTCCAATCGTGGTTTACAAAGGGTTACCAAAAAAAGTATAGAACTGTTAATGGTGACCAGAAACATGTTAAAAACACAACCTCATCTAGAATTGTTGATTTTGTTTTGTCTCGTCAATGCACTTATGAGGCCAAAATGTGTACAATAATTGTAAATATGTAGAAACAAGACCAGGGTTTCCCAACTGTAACATTTGTTTCGCATATTTTATTTTTAAATCCCACACTATTCTGGTTCCTTTCCCAATATTCATTTTTGCGTAAAAATACGAAATTTTGTGAACAAGTTAGCACAATATGAAAACAAATTTTCACAAACGTTTTATTTGGCTGGAAGCTCTTGATAAGACCGAATAAAAACTGTACAGTTGTCTTTGAAACCTCTCTCGTAACCCAATCTCTTCTCTGGCTAAAACCAGATAAACCCAATTAAACCCTGTTAAAGCCAGCTAAAACTAGCAAAACCAGCTATAACTAGATTAAACCAGCGAAGAGCCTAAAACTAGCTAAAGCCAGCTAAAACTAGCTTAAACCAGCGAAGAGCCTAAGACTAGCTAAAACCCGCGAAAACTAGCTAAAACGAGCTGACACGAGCTAAAACTCCTATTTATAAGTTCATTGTACTGCATAATTTCCATTTTTTCGCGAAATTTTTGCATTTTTTCACGAATTGTTCGCATTATTTTTTGCGAAATTTTCGCATTATTTTTTTCGCGAAATTTTTGCATTATTTTTTTCGCAAAATTGTTTTGCGAAACAGATTGAAGCTAAATTTTGCGAAAAAAATCTATCTCTGTGAACTTAAATCTCAAATATTGATAGAAACAGGTTTATTTTATTGATGCATATCTATGCATAGAAAGCTAGACATTTCTTTGGGAACACTTTTAGTCCATTTTGAAGCACCAAATCATATCTACTTTTCGAGGTCCAGGTTTAAGTGGTAAAAAGAAGGCGGATCCTCCTCCCGCCCACACATTATCACTAGAATCTTTCTAGAAGGGGCTGATTCATTTCACAACTTATTTAGTCTGTATGTGTACTGTACTGTTTGTCCCTAACGTCTTCAAAGTCGCCCTGGTACTGGAGTTTTCCATGCTATGTTTAAAATCATAAAACTTAATAACTTTAAAAAAAATATTACCAAAATATAAAGAACATATTGGTTAAATTTTTCGTTGAAACATTGTCAGTGAAATCTATGGTTTTCTGGAAGGTTTTGGGCTCAAACAATTCCTGAGCCCCCCCCCCCCCCTGGAGAGAAAAAAAATATAAGTTCCCCAAGACAAATTCCTGAAAACAGCCCTGGATGTTGCCATCTTAATGTTAGATACCTTGATTGTGGTTTTTGTATTGAATAATATATCTATGATGCTTAAAATATAAAGACAATAATCTTTGTACTGTTAGATAATAATACTTTGATTTTGGTTTTCGTATTAAATAATATATCTATGAGCTTAAGAAATACATTCATCTTTGTACTGTTGGATAACAATACCTTGATTGTGGTTTTTCTATTAAATAATATATCTACGAGATTAAGATTTAAAGACAGTCATCTTTGTACTGTTAGATATTAATTCCTTGATTTTGGTTTCGTATTGAATAATATATCTATGATGCTTAAAATATAAAGACAGTAATCTTTGTACTGTTAGATAATAATACTTTGATTTTGGTTTTCGTATTAAATAATATATCTATGAGCTTAAGAAATACATTCATCTTTGTACTGTTGGATAACAATACCTTGATTGTGGTTTTTCTATTAAATAATATATCTACGAGATTAAGATTTAAAGACAGTCATCTTTGTACTGTTAGATATTAATTCCTTGATTTTGGTTTCGTATTGAATAATATATCTATGATGCTTAAAATATAAAGACGGTCATCTTTGTAATGTTAGATAATAATACTTTGATTGTGGTTTTCCTACTGAGTAATATATCCAAGAAATATATAGACCAGGAACTGATGCCATATCTAATGCGTCAAATTTGTGTACTGCAGTGGGAGGCGATCAAAACAAAGAATTCAGGGGCAAAACATCAATTATAATAAGATATATTGCTATCGTAGACATCAATACTGATTATAAAACGAAAGACTATTTGTTACTTGAGAGTATATGCTTTTAAGACAGGAGAGGGAAATGATAATATCCAAGATTATATTCAAATTGTAAAATTGGGATGTTTTATTAAAAGCAAAAACAATTCCTCACTCTATGGGAATCAATGCAAAGAGAAACTGTAGACATATTACAATGCGTAACAGGACTGGACAGTGCACACATAATTGTGTCCCTAATATATAAAGATGCATGCCTGATTCACAATTCGGTACCTTTAAAAACTTTTTCGGGAAATGCCCATTGCCCATTAGTCATTAAGAAATAAAACCTTCTAACATAAAATTCGAGAAAAATGTTATCCATATCATAATATATTTATTCTTATACATTTTAAAACAGGAAGACCGTCCAGCTTTTTAACTACTCCATAATTCTAAAACATAAATTGAGCAGTCTGTTTTAGTGTTCTGACATTATTTTTACTTTTTTCCTTAAAGATTACATTGACTTTTTTCAGTCTACTAAAAATCTAACATTTACAAAAAGTTTAATAACTTCCCGAGGCCATCGATTGCTTATTGCAGCAATAGCTGGAATTGTTTTTTTTTCGATTGGATCTCGACCTCTATCCAGTGACTCTCCATGTATTTTTGGAAATATTTTCTCTTATTTCTCAACTTCTTCTAAAAGTTCTCTAGATGGATAAACCAGGGATCCTCTTGATTTTCAGTCTATCCAATCACAGTTTGTTTTATCCTCACTGCCTCTGACAAGGCCGGGAACTTTTGTATGGAGTTTTTTGGCAATAAATCCACAAACATATATTTGTGCTGTTTTGAGGACTTTATTTGTGCTGAATTGTCCGCACTCATAGGTTCCTGAAAACAGATAAAGTTAGCCGGTTAGGGAATAAGACTAAGAATGAGTTGCATTTTATGTTTGATCACTCTCTTTAGGATTAGAAGTAACAACTATGAAAATAGGTATTTTTAGAAAAAATTTATCATTTAAACATTGGGAGGAAGGATAATAAAGTTAGAAGGAAGATTCAAATGTTGGGAGGAAGGATTAAAATCTTAAAATGAAAGATTCAAACGTTGGTAAGAAGAATGTAAGCCTTGGGAGGAAGGATGTAAAACTTGAGAGGAAGGATAAAAACATCGGCAGGAAGGGTTTAAACCTTGGGAGGAAGGATACAAACATCGGCAGGAAGGGTTTAAACCTTGGGAGGAAGGATACAAACATCGGCAGGAAGGGTTTAAACCTTGGGAGTAAGGATGTGAAACTTGGGAGGAAGGAAACAAACATCGGCAGGAAGGGATTAAACCTTGGGAGGAAGGATGTAAACCTTGGGAGGAAGGATGTAAACCTTGGGAGGAAGGATGTAAACCCTGGGAGGAAGGATGTAAACCTTGGGAGGAAGGATGTAAATCTTGGGAGGAAGGATGTAAACCTTGGGAGGAAGGTTGTAAACCCAGGGAGGAAGGATGTAAATCTTGGGAGGAAGGATGTAAATCTTGGGAGGAAGGATGTAAATCTTGGGAGGAAGGATGTAAATCTTGGCAGGAAGGATGTAAACCTCGGGAGGAAGGATTTAAACCTTGGGAGGAAGGATTTAAACATTGAGAGGAAAGGTTTTAAATTTTAAAACAAAGTTAAACCTCGGAAACAAGGATAAGTGGGAATCTTTTTACCTTGCTTCTCCTATATAGTTGAACAAATCTCACTGAGCATGAATAAATTTTCCATATTAATCTAAAACCCAAAAATCATATTTAAATAAATAATTTGTATCATCACTAACTTAATATATTAACTAGTTTCTTTTGTTTTTGACTGTAACATCACTCTGTTTATCAGTGTTTAATCCTTTCTCTTCAACTGCTCTGGGGGCACTGGATTTGTTTACATTCCTCCCACAGTTTACAGTACACAATTTGCGTATATCTGAGTTGGGCCTTCCTGGTCTATATATTTGTTGAATATATCTATGAGCTTATGAATTAAACACACTCATTTTTGTACTTTTAGATAACAATACCTTTTGGTTTTCATATTAATAATACAGGGTGTCCCACGAAGCATTACATTTGATAAATAGTTATTTTTAGTTAAACAAATCTTTTGCTTAATTATATTTTACTTTGAAATCAATTTTAATATAACATCTTAGGTATCAAACAACTGAACAAATAATGGAAAAAGACATTCTAAACTATTCATAACTGTATGTTTCGTGGGACACCCTGTATATCCATAAGATTAAAAAATAGAGACAGTAATCTTTGTACTGTTAAATAACAATACCTTGATTTTGGTTTTCGTATTGAATAATACGAAGAAACTAGAAAGGTTATAGTAAAGAATGCTGATGGACAGTCTGTACAGAGGAATTGTACACTTGTACAGACTCCTTAGCCTGGTTCTAGAGAGCTAAATACCACTCTTTACAAATCCTGCTTGGTGGTATTAAGGGTAGATCATCTACCTTACGCGTTCTTTAGAAGTGTAAATACTGGTATTATGCATGATACCGGTATTACAAAGAGTGGTGTTACCTAAATCCAGCCGCAGGGTGGATTTAGGTAGGATAATCTACCTTATATACCAGTATTAGTTTGGTTTGGGTAAATTTCTGAGAAAAGAAAGCTTATGAATTACAGGGATGCATCAAATACAGGGATACATAAAAAACGAATGATTACTTTTAGAATGGAAAATAATTTTATAAGCCCCCCCCCCTCCTCCCTCTATATTTAAAGGTGGGTTCTACTTTTAAATGATATTTTGAATATTAAAAAAAACTTGAGATAAACTTAAAAATTTTAAACACAAGTTTTTTTAAATTTTAATCATTCATAAACCTTCCTTGGGGTCACGTGTTGAGGTCCACCAAAAATATTGATTATTAAATACTTGCATGAATTATTAATCTTTTATCATAAATAAAGAATATATCATTAAAAGTCGTCTTCAATTATTTAAAAAATTCTTGCTGAGTTAAGTGCTCGAGCATGCGCATTAAAGGAAAATTTCTATAGAATGGATGATAAAACCGGTATTAGCTAGGATGACTAAAGAACTCTTCAGCTGTTCTATGCTAGATAATCCTACCCCGAATTAGGCAGCATTAGCGTCTAAAGAATCCGAATTTCCTAAACACTGGTATTAGCGTTAAGAGTGGTATAAGAGTGGTATTAGCTAATACCGCTCTTATACCACTCTTAAGAGTCATCTTTCTAGAACCGGCCTTTAATCATTGGACATAATGGTTAACATGTACATTTATAGAAGAGGGGGATTTTTGTAGACGTCATTCTATACATGAATAAAAATATAGAAACCAATTAATATTCTAACTTTTAAATGTTCTGTGTGCAAAGTTCAAATATTTAAAAAAATAATTAGCTTATTCAGCAATATGAAAAACATGACGTAAAACATCAAAAATGGCTTTTGTTGGTATGTAAATTGAAAATGGGTTCGAGAATGCTGAAAATCACAGTATAACCAAGTGGGCGATATATCCTGGGGAGGACAAAAATTGTCAAAACTCGGTGTGGGGCATCCATGGCTACCCACCCCTAATTACTAAATAATCAATTTGATAAGCAGTACTATAACTGCTCTTTTGCCCTTCATTAAGTTAAAATATCAGCTGTATGTTACTCTCCCAATAGTATGGCAATCAAATGAAAAAAAATGTTAAATTTTTTACCATAAGGGCTTAAATCACCCCAGCTTTAATTTTGCTCAGTGAATTTATTTAAAGAGCTGTTCAAATATTTAAAAGGATTCTTGGAATTTTAAAGAGATAATTTAGTTAATCAATCTATTATATATCTGATTCATAAATAAGTTAATGAACTAAGTAAAAATAATAATTAACTCAGTTAAATACTTAAACAAATAACTAATCAAAAGATTATCCATTAATAATGTAATCCAACCAAGTAAACAATTAAATTGATCACAAAATCAAAATGAAACAACTAATAATCAATTAGTTAATTGAAGAAAAAAATAGCAAAGTGAACACAGTCTACCAAACAGTAAAATGTTATTATTACGATAATTAATTTATCATTAAAGTAAAAATAAAACATGGTCAATCAATCAATCAATGAAACAAACAAACAAACAAACAATCACGCAATTACCTCTCCAAACAAAGCTTCTCTACTACCCCCAGGTGCTACCCCCATGAGCTGACCAGCTTTCAGCTGATCTACACAGAACTCCTAGTTTTTAAATGACATTTACTGATTTATTATCTTCATTTAATTGAACATTTTAACCAAATAAAACAAGAGAGGAGATATTTTAATAAAAGAGTTTCTATCAAAGGATGAGAAAATATAAAATTCAATGCAAGGATATTTTAATGCTGAATTTGGTCTTATGTCAATAGTTAAGTTTTTAAACTATATACTCAAATGAATTGACATAAAATGTGTACAATTGCAAGGGTTCAATAATGCAAGTAAATAAACCCCCAATGTTATTTCTGTAGTTGTTTCGGAAGCCTCATTCTTTGTGGGTATAAAAGGAATGACTAATGAAGTTATAATGGTGTATTTTATGTGCAAGGTGTAGTAACACGATTTTATCATGACTAATTTTTACAAATTTACGTTCTTTCTGACAAACATATTGAAAAAACTTTCACTTGATCTTACCGGTCCATCACACGTGCAACCCAGTTTATTGATGAAAAACCAGCTCCATGGAAGCATCTTTAAGCATCTAGTACAAGCAAGAATTTATCAAAACCCCGCTGGTTCCCAATTTTTTAACATTGTTATGTTTCGTTCCATTTCGTTCCATTCTGTTCCGTTCCATTCTGTTCCATTCCGTTCCGTTCCGTTCCGTTCCATTCCGTTCCATTCCGTTCCATTCCGTTCCGTTCGTTCCTGTGAAAGAACTATCAATCCCAAATAACGACGCCCAGTCCTGAAGCGCCCCATATTCGTTCTGTTTGTTCCTAAAAAAGAACAATCGTTCCCCGGAAACGATGCCCAACCCTACAGTCAGACTGTATCAATTTTGAAACATTTCTTAATATGAATAAAAAATGTATAACATTTACAGAGAAAACTGAAGTTGAGATTAAAACAACCTGTTTTTTTTCTTTTCATCTTTATGTGAAAACATTAATCAATATAATTTTAAACCCCACTGGTATTCAACATAACCCTGAGGGCAGAGTACATGCCTGTTCTAGGGAACATACTGTATTAACGAACACCACTGCATATAATTTGTGAACATTTACACGATTTGTACACTTTGAACTCCCTTTCAGGCTGAAAGGGACAACAATATCCTTTAAACTTTGTGCTGTTCAATAACATGGAAGATCTCATTTTTTCATTCATAAAAATTAAGTTCGGGCCATTTTCTACATTGTTTCTTAAGCAGAAATCACAGTGGACAATGATTTTTTAACGAAATTGTTGAGATTCTGAAAAAATTGCAGTCCCTTTAAACACTGAACTAAATTTACCTGTCTATGATGGATTTGATGTTGCGGCCATATTGGTATTGCACCTCTGCAATTAGAGCTAAATAATCGACAGGCATAGGTCCGTGATACCACACGATCAGAGCAGATCCTTATAACATTTACACTCTTAAAGATGACAATGCCCGATTCACAACGGTACCCTTAACATCTTTTTCCAATTAAGTATGAATTAGATATCATTGTTTATAATTTGAAAAACTGATCATTTTAATTCTGGGTTCTTTACAAAAGTGAATTGGAAATAGTCACTGCAGGAAAGCATTTTTAAATTATCAGTATCGAACACTATAAATTGAGCAGCTAGAAAAACAACATTATTATGATGAGATAAAGGTTTCAAGGGTATCGTTGTGGATCGGGAACTGCAATCTGTGCAAATTCTGAAGCAAAAACTATCAGGATTTTGCCAATTTTCCTCCAATATGAAGGAAAAAAATATAAATTTTACATCTAGTAAATCTTGAAACCACGGGATAATTTGCAAGGTCGCTAAAAGTACAGCTGTACAGCTGTACAGTGTACATGGTACAAGGGATGAGACCTGGTAAGAAAATCCCTCTGGTCTCTCTTAAAGTTTCAAAAAAATTTTAAAATTGTAAGCTCCGCGCAATTCCGCACGATGTCGCTCCATTCCGCGCCATGTGATTTGCGCGCAATGGAATTCCAATTGGAAACCCTAATTATATTACACGAATACAGCACTAAATATATATTTGACGTTGTAGAATATTAATGTAATATTAATATTTATAATCTAAATTTCATCAAAAGTTTGTGAATTTGCTTGGAGTTTTGTAGATTGGCGTGGATTGTGTGGGTTTGACCAATGATCATTTCACATAGACTCTATGCCTTTCACTTTGCAAACGATGATTTTCCGTTATAACTAAAAATCAAATGATGTTTTTTATTCGCCTAATTCATTTAAAAGTTTATTTAACAGCTTTAAAAAATTTGAAATTGAAATGGATAGTCTAGGGACTACTCTCTCTGCATATAATTTGTGAACATTTACATGATTTGGACTATATGAACTCCCTTTCAGGCTGAAAGGGACTGACAAAATTCATACAGAGGGATTGTCTAAATTCCACTCTAATATATATTCTATTCTCTTTGGGGACGGTATATTTGAGATACCGTCTCCACTAAAACCCACTATTAATTAAGCAAGAGTACGCACGCGCGCGCAGATTATTTAAAGTACGCACCGAAAGCTAAGTGTAGGGTATCAAAATGAAGTATTCCTGACAACAACGTTAGGTTCAAAATTTGAGCAAAATGTTGGACTGTTTTCCTTACAGAATACAGGGTATCTATCTCTATATATATAAAGTTATAATCTCTGTTTTTCTGTTTTTCCGATCATAACTCAGGAACCCCTGACCGATTTGCCTCAAATTTTGATTGGGAAACTCGGGAGACCCACGGGAATATTCTCAAATTAGTTTTGAGATTCTAAGTTGAGTGGTTCAACTTCAATTGCTCAATCTCAGATGATAAAAAATGATTTTGAGATTTCAAAACGACAGAACTATTATTTAACCAAAAGGGTAAGATCTCAATTTTAAAAATGGGGGGGGTCTACTATAGCTCTTTAAGCGGTATTCTGCCCCCCTCCCCTCCCCCTGAAATATTAAGAATCAAAGAATTCATTCTTAAAATTTCCTTTTCCTATGACGCGCCTAATTCAATACTTAAAACTTTAACCCCCCCCCCCTTGCGCCTTTGTTATTTATTTTGAATGCATCCTGTCCAAGGAGTGACAAGTGTATGCGATAAAAACAATGGTTCCATCTTAAAACACCCAGATACGAATCTTAAAGCAATGTTCATGGATGGCCTCATTTCGTTCCATATTGATTACGCAACTGTACTTTTATCATTGTTTCATCTGGTATTTAAAGGGGAAAAGCTAAATATATTCATTTCAGATTTGTTTTACCTTAAATTTGTGAGACTTATTTAAAGGGACTGTAAGCGTAATTTCAAGCGATCCTCCATGCACAGATATCAATACCCTATTCTCAACGGCACTCATAAAACCGTTAAACCGCAATTGAAAACAGTTGTTTAAGTTATTAAAATTAATATCTAATTCTTCATAATAAGACAAAATACTCATTTGCAAAAATTGCACTTTTAATAATTGCGCATGCGCACTTTGAAAAAGAATATTAAAAAATTAACATTTTGAAAATGCACAAATTGGAGTCTTAACTTTTAAAAGAACTCTAAATGCTCATTGTTTGCAATGACATGTGTGTAATATTTGTTAGTTTACTGCACATTTTGGAAAATGGCACATAGTCGGGAAAAAAATCCAATTACCTGAAGTTGGAATATTTGACAATCCTTGAAACTCCTGACCATGCCAAATCCTAGAAAAGAAATTAGATAATAAAGTATTTTATTTTTAAATAAGGCAATGTGCCTTTCATGATTGAATGACAAAACTAAAATGAAGTTTTTGAATAAAATAGTTGCAATAAGCAAAGTTGTACGGTGTAATAGTAGAAAATCTAACCCAAGGTTATAATGCAAGGAAATTTATTTCAGAAGTGTATGCATCTTTTGTACTGCAGTGTACTGTCTCTGGGCGGTAATGTAAACACAAGACGGAAACTATAATGTGAATTATCAAAAATATCAAAATTTAATGCTTTTAACCTCCTCGGATACTAAACGAACACTGATGCATCTATTCTTGTTTACAAATTCCGCCCAAAGAAAAATGGCTTCAATATGTACGCAGAGTATACGCAACTGAAATTAACTTTCCTTGCATTACAACCTTGAACCTATTGTTTCTTCTTAGTAGCACTTCAAGAAGAGTGATTATCGATTATGTAATTTGGATTTAATGATATAAAAAGCTATATTTAAATTACATTTAGAATGTAATTTACTTCTTTTTAACAATCTTTGTAAGTACACATTTGGTGCTCAAATATTTGAACATTTTTAATTTGTTTTTACTGATATGATTGAAAATAAAAAATTCTTACTTAAAAAGGATTCTTATAAAAGTTGCGGCAACATGAAGACCTGCAAATATTAACAATGTCAGATTTTTATTAATTTTATTATTTATTTTTTATTAAAAAATATTAGGTGTTACCTATGTCAAGAGCGATGCCTTGATCCCTATTTAAAGTTTTGGCAACAAAACAGAATATGGCAACTATGCCAGCAGCGCTAAATACCACACCTATAGAAAAATTCTAAAATTGATTTTAAATGTTTTTTTAATTTTCTTTCTAAATTGCATTAAGCACTGATGTTGAACCAAAGCCAAGGCACATCTAGGCTTTTTCTAGCCGTTGCTTAAAGGGACAGACCGGCCATGTAAGGTAGAATTGAACTGAGTATGCAGTGTTGTGGACAAATTCTTTAGGATTCACTTGAGACATAAAAATATCTGTAAATCCTGATTTTGAGCGTATAGTCGAAGTTCAAAATTGTACTTTTGGGTGGATACGTTTTCAGAATTGTTTTTTTGTAAACAAAATTCTACAGTAAACCAATCAGTTCTTTAGGAACAGGTTGAGAAAATAAAAATTAATCTTATCATCGAAAATAAGTAATCTTATTCGATTATTAGTTTCTATAATATCTCAATTATTCACAAAGATTTTCTGGAATTTTTATTAAAAAGACGACATTTGAAGAGTTTGTAGAAATCTGCGAATAAGTTCATAGAACATAAGAAATTCAATATAATGATGAAAACGAAATAATTGACTCTAGCATTGATTTATTGACAAATTTCTTTTGAGAAACATGTTCCTAATTAGTCTAATTAGTTTACTGTATATGATGTGTTACTTTATTTTTCGTCGTCGTTATTTAGTAATTAAAAAAACGATTCTGAAAACTTACCCCCAAATTCATGAGTTTGAATGACGACGACTATGCACTCAAACTCAGTAATTATGCATCGTGGAAACGTTTTATGTGTCGCAAATGAATCCTAAAGAATTTATCCACAACACTGCATACTCAGTTTAACTACAGAGCCCAAAACTTAAGACAGGGTTTCGTTATGAAAACCAGTTTTGGAACCCGGGTTTCACAAATGGGTTTACCCAGTTTTGTAGATATCGATAGTTTTGTTTTGAAATATTATTTTATTTAATCCTTTATATCTTACCATTTTTATCAAATCTCTTAAATCAAAATCTACACAAATAATAAGACCCCAAAAAGGAAACTCGGAAGTTTCGTTCAACGATACTCTTTTAAATTTCAGGCTCAGGGTGTCCCAAAAAACATGGGAATTCAGTGACGAATTTGATATCGTCTTTGTTATGAATTAGCATTGTAATACCTAATTTCAAAAGCCATAATATTATTATGTCTGCTAGAGCTTATTTTATGAAAAGGGTAAAAGACTGTAAAGATGTGTCTATAATGTCTCCGCAAGATGAACAGTGAAGACAGACAAGTTTACTCTGTTTGCATACTGCAATTTTCTTGTTTTACTAAGTACAACTGTATGCAGTCAAAACATAAACAAACAAAATGTAAACATAGCAGACGAAACTCTTACAGATTACAGCTTTCTCAGTAGGTATCACTAAACTAAATCAAAGAATTATTTGAAAAGACGATATCGAATTCGTCACTGAATTCCCATGTTTTTTGGGACACCCTGTACCTTACATTGCCGGTCTGTCCCTTTAGCAGTAATTGTTAAAATCGTTCAAATTAACTTTCAAGATATTTGTTCGTTCGTCCCGGTTGTTAACGTTATTTTCAGTTTTTTCTCAATCCCTTTCATAAACAATCTCAATTATATGAGCGGCGTTAGCGGACGATACTTTAGAAATGGTTTCTGGTGCCAGCCGTGTACGAGCTGCTAGCCTGCTAACGATTGTTTCATGGAAGCTAGAGCAACTCGAAAACAACATTCAAAAACATCAAAACATGCTACAACAGAGTCCGGGAAAAATCATCATCATTTGGAGTACTATTGGAGACCCCTTTCATTTTAGACTCCCGTGGACGTCTCGTTGAGACCCCCAGATTCCGTTGTAGACCCCCACATTCCGTTGTAGACCCCCAAATTTTCATTTGAGACCCCATACTTTCGTTGGAGATCCCCAACAAAAATCTGGGGTCTCCAATTAAAATCTTGGATTTCCAACGAGAATCGGGGGGTCTCCAACGAATATATGGGGGTCTCCAATGAAAGTTACCGTTATTGGAAATACAGAAATACCGAATAGAAAATGCAAAGACTTCCCCCCCCCTCCCCAACCATTATAGGGTTTATCCGTCAGCGTTAAACCGTTCAAATTTCAGATATTTAAATATACTACAAAGAGAACCAGAAAACAGTGGAAATCCTGTCGTCTTCTTTTCCCTTAAAGGAATTGTGAACGTACTTTTTCAAATATGAAAAGATGGCAACTGTTCGGCGTATTTTTGGTTCTCATTGTAGTTGGTTCGGCGTATTTTTGGTTCTCAGTGTAGTTGGTTCAACGCATTTTTGGTTCTCATTACAGTTGGTTCAACGTATTTTTGGTTCTCGTTGCAGTTGGTTCAGCGTATTTTTGGTTATCATTGTAGTTGGTTCGGCGTATTTTTGGTTCTCGTTGCAGACTGGTTCGGCGTATTTTGGTTCCATTGTAGTTGGTTCAACGTATTCTTGGTTCACATTGTAGTTGGTTCTGCGTATTATAATGAAAACGTTACCAAGTAATGTGTAAGGTCCAAAGACAAAAAGGATGCAAAGAACTATTTCCTGATTGCGAAAATAAACAATTTCATTTATTTTGAAAAGATACTCATTTTTTCAAAAGTTTTTAGTAATTTTTATAAATTGCATGAAGCTCCCTAGAAAGATGGAAATTATATAAAATAGATTTTTATAAACTTATGTAGGAATGATACTGATAAAAATGAAGAAAGAAACAAAATTCGAGAAATATTTCCTTTAGTTTCAAGTCTAGATTTGTAATTCAAAAACAAAATTGATCTACATAATATTTTTAAATTGGAAGTTTCGATATGAAAACAAGATTTAGGAAAAATATATCTAGGAAAAAGTTAAGTCTAACCCTTATAGATTTAAAGTAATATGAAAAAAACAAAAAATAAGAAATAAGAATATTGCATTGCAATTTACTACAGCCTTAGACGAACAGTAATTTCTCCAAGAAAAATGTTAAAAACTGTGGGAGGTGATAAAAAATGAAAATAACAAAATTGTTTCCTTCGTAAGATTTCCGATGAATGGTAGAGCTCTTGAATATTGTTGGTTCACGACAAATCTCCAGCTGCATGTTACCACAAAAAATATACTTTTAGTCAGAAGTTTGCTGACTCCCAGAAACAGGAAAAAAAAGTCCTTCACAAAATTTATAAATGTAAATCCAGTCACCCTTTTCTTAGTTTCCATGCTTAGACCGAACTAAACTATTCTCAATGAGAGGAGACCAGCTCTGATGATTGTTTTAACATCGCGCGATCATCATGCAGTTCAAATTTCGTATTCTAATATTCTAACCAGCCCGTATCGTATCCTAGATATTTTAATGCCAGTACATACAATGGGCAGTTATTGGGGGGGGGGGGGGACAAAAAATGAATCGGGGGAAGATTATCAAAAGATTAGGAAAAATAATTGTATAATGTATAAAAGGGGCAAAATAAAGCAAAGAAGTAAAGGAATATGAAGATTTGATTAAGGAATTGAGAATAAGTAAAGAAATTAAGAAAGAAGTAATTAACAGAGAAGGACGTTAATTTACAACAGAGGAAGTAAATTAACAGAGAAAGAAGTTAATTTACAATGGAGGAAGTGAGTTAAGAGAGAGAGAAGGTAATTAACAGAGAAAGAAGTTAATTTACAAAGAAGGAAGTTAATTTACAGATAAGGAAGTTAATTAATGAAGAAGGAAGTTAATTAATGAAGAAGGAAGTTAATTAACAGAGAAAAAAGTTAATTAACAGAAAAAGAAATTAATTTACTGAGAAAGAAGTTAATTAACAGAGAAAGAAGATGGTTTATAAAGAAAAGAGTTAATTGACAGAGAAACAAGTTAATTTACAGAGAAAGAAGTTAATTTACAGAGAAAGAAGTTAATTTACAGAGAAAGAAGTTAATTTACAACGGATAAAGTAAATTTAGAGAGAAAGAAGTTGATTTACAGAGAAAAAAGTTAATTAACAGAGAAAGAAGTTAATTTACAACAGAGGAAAAAAATTAAGAGAGAAAGAAGTTATTTAACAGAGAAAGAAGTTAATTAACAGAGAAAGAAGTTAATTAACAGAGAAAGAAGTTAATTAACAGAGAAAGAAGTTAATTAACAGAGAAAGAAGTTAATTAACCCTATTCCTGCTGGGGGGGGGAAGGTCAATTTGACCCCCCCTTGTAGTTTTTTTACATAACTCAAAAAGTATTGGTCTGAGGCTGTTGAAATTTTCTTACTTTTTCTACATACCAAAAGCCCTCCCTTTAGGCCTAAAACAAGGCTTTAATACTAACTGCCTGAGTCCTCAGGCGCACTGTCTGAATGCCTGTTTTTTCCTGTAACAAACTAAATCTTTGTTTTGACCCACTTCCACTTGTCAGATTTTGATAAAATTTTGCTTTTTGGAAAGCATTTGACATAAGGAAACGAATTGAACAAGTTTTGCGAGAAAAAATTGCAAATTTTTTGCAAACAACCTGTCAAAGGAAATTTGCACATTTTTAGTTTTTCTTGATTAAAAATCAGGTTATTTAAAATTTTGCCAAAATTTTTGCATATTTGAAATGGCATGGTCAAGGGCTTTTCAAAAATGTGTAATTTTTCATTTTTTGGACAAATTTCTTTTGGCAAACACTTTTACTATATAACTTCATTTTGCGATAAAAAACTCAATTTTTTCAAATTTGCAAATTTTTTTGCAGATTCTAAAAGTAGAGCACAAGACCTTTCCAATGATGTATCATTTGTCATATTTGGACATCAAACATGGGATTTAGAGGGGGGGGGGGTCAAATTGACCCCCCCCCCCGCATATCCTGGTTTTCAAGTACCCCAGCAGAGACAGGGTTAACAGAAAAAGAAATTAATTTACAGAGAAAGAAGTTAATTAACAGAGAAAGAAGATTATTTACGAAGAAAGGAGTTAATTGACAGAGAAAAAAGTTAATTTACAAAGATAAAGGTTAAGAAATGAATAAAGAAGTTCCATCGAGATCAATTTTTACTATCGTAGAAAGAAGCTGAAAAATATTAAACAAGTTAAAAAAATAAGGATTCAGAAGTTGATAAATGGAGAAGGAAGTAAAGAAAATTGAGACAAAATTTTATTAATGGAGAAAGAAATTGAGAAATTAAGTAAAGAAATTAAGAACAAATTTAAGAAATGGAGAAAAAGGTAAAAAAAAAAAAACGTAAAATCGATTAATAAAGTGAGAGAAAAGCTAAAAATGAGAAAGAAGTTTCAAAAAGGAAAGAATTTTAACAAAAATTAACAAAATGAACAAAAAAAAATTCTTGAAAGCTGAGTATTTTTCCAATTGAAAATGGGTCTTTTAGTAACAATAGTAATTATTTGTGTGGAGATTAGCAAAATTAATATGAATGTTAAGGATGATGAGGATGAGGGAGGAGGTGGGCGGGCTTATCTTGCCCCGCCTCTCCCACCCTCCTTCAGTGGGTCTAGGCTGAGAAGGGTTAACTCCAGCACTTTATCCCTCAACAGGTATTTTTTCAATTATTTTTCAAAAATAGAGGAAGAAAATATTTTACAAAATTTTAAGACTGACATTATCTAACATGATTGTTCAGTAATCCACGTAACCATACCAAACCAAACCAAACCAATTTCAATCAAACCAACCCAAACCAAACTAAACCATACCAAACCATATAAAATTAGAAAATCAAATTAAACTGACTATAACAAAAACAAAGCAAAGCAAATCAAACCAAACCAAACCAAACCAAATTTATCCGAACTAAATCTAAGGGAACCAAACCAAAGAAACGCAAAACCAAATTAAACTAAACCGGACCAAACCAAACCAAAAAATAAATAAATAAACCTACTCAAAAAAACAAACCAAATCAAATCAGACCAAACCATACTAAACCAAACCAAACCATACATTAAACCAAATCAAACCGACCCATATCAGACCAAACAAAGCAAAATTAAAACGATCCAACCAAACCCAACCAAACCAAATCAAAACAGAACCAAATAAATCCAAACAAACCAAAACTAACCAAAAACTAAGCTTAGCAAGACCTAATCGATACAACCAAAGCCAAACAAATCCAAACAAAGCCAAAAAAATCCAAACAAAGCCAAACAAAACCAAAAAAACTATTTCTAGATCTAAGAGGAAAGTATTGACCCTGGAGGAACTTTATGTAGAAATCCTTTACACTATTCTTCACATGATTGGATGTGATTCAGATCAGGTTCACTAAATTTTCGTTAGATGTTCGTTCAATGTTTGTTAAATGTTTGTTAAATGTTCGTTAAATGTTCGCTAAATGTTCGTTAATGGTTCGTTTAATGTTCGTTAAATGTTTTTTAAATGTTCGTTAAATGTTCGTTAGATGTTTGTTAAATGCTTGTTAAGTGTTCGGTAGATGTTCGCTAAATGTTTGTTAATAGTTCGTTTAATGTTCGTTAAATGTTCATTAAATGTTCGCTAAACTTTCGTTAAATGTTCGTTAAATGTTTGTTAAATGTTCGTTAAATGTTCTTTAATAGTTTGTTAAATGTTCGTTAAATGTTTGTTAAATGTTCGCTAAATGTTCGTTAAATATTTGTTAAATGTTCGTTAAATGTTCGTTAAATGTTTGTTATATGTTCGTTAAATGTTCTTTAAATCTCAACAGTCCTTTCGTTCCTTGACGTAGCTTTACCTATTTGGTGATCAGCATTCGTTAATTCTGCTAATCGATCGATCATTAAAGGGACTGTTGTTAAAATAAATTCGAAATATAAGGAAGACGATTGTACCGACTCAATGCCGATGCCTATTTTCAAACGTGTTTATCCATTTCCTCCATGTAGTGGCCACATGTCAAATCCCCGCTCCTCCCAGCTCCTCACCTCAGCAAAATCTGGGCGGGTTATAAATTGGTTGGTTGGATTTTAAAGTTTCGAATTTATTTTAATCTTTGTTAAATTAAAATCCCTTTTTAATTTAACCCCAAGTAGGGGGCAATGTTAAAATAAATTCGAAATATAAGGAAGACGATTGTACCGACTCAATGCCGATGCCTATTTTCAAATGTGTTTATCCATTTCCTCCATGTAGTGGCCACATGTCAAATCCCCACTCCTCCCAGCTCCTCACCTCAGCAGTCAGTCAAGTTTAGAGAGTTGAGCTGGTAACAGCTCCGACACAGGGAGCCTCTTGACTCCTTTATGATGATGACGCAGATACTCAGATAGCAACAGACATGCTTACCCGAAGGGTTCCCAGTTATCATGCATCCCGGAGACAACATAATCGCTCAATCGCATCATGATAAAACCGCGTTCTCTGCCTACTAGGTGGATAGGCCCTGATGTTCCAGTTCCTGTTGATCTGCTCCACCAACATGAAGCTCTACATCACTCCCATGAAGTCCCCCCAAATAGTCGTCATTTATTCCTTTTGTTAATTTCTAAACCAACCAATTTTAACGTCACTTGGGAAACTATTTCAAAACTTTCGTTTTTATTAAATAAATGTTAGAAATATCCATGTAGATCTCCTTTTATTTTATCATATTGACTTTTAAAGTCAACAACTGTATGTATAATGTTAAGTTCATGGAAAGATGGAAATGTCCGATTTGCAATGGTACCCTTGAAACCTTTATATGATCCAAAATGTTGATGATATTGACAGTTTTTCTGACTTGAAAAACATTGTTTTTTTTTTCTTCTCCATCGCTTTTTATAAACAAGGAATGCGCAAGTCTCTTTCCAAATAAACCGCAAATGAAAAAAAAACGAAAAATTGAAAACATTGAATGATAATTCATACTTGATCAAACAAAGCTATGAAGGGTACCTTTGTAAATCGGACATTGCCATCTATGCAATGATTGAGGGACACAGGATGCTACTTAATTTAACGCTGAGTGAAACATTACAGAATGTTTTAGATCTTGTAAAAATTATCTTTTTGAGAGTTTCTAGTCGAAATGAAAAGATTTTAATCAGAATTAAGATTTTGTTCAAGTTATTCACCTTTTTTAGATTTCCATAACAGAACTTATAGAACATGTTCGTAAATCCTTTAATATGGAGCAAACTAAACATCAGCAGCTACTAGATACTGCAACTATGAAGGAGGTAAATTATTTAGTATGGAGCAAACTAAACATCAGCAGATACTAGATACTGCAACTATGAAGGAGGTAAATTCTTTAATATGGAGCAAACTAAACATCAGCAGCTACTAGATACTGCAATTATGAAGGAGGTAAATCATTTAACATTGCGCCTAAAGTAAAATCTTTAGATCATAAAGTTTCTAAATCTGTAAATAATGAAGCTTCTAATTGTCTAGATCATAAAGTTTCTGAATCTGTAGAAAATAAAGTTTCTAAATCTGTAGATCATGAAGTTTCTAAATCTGTAGATCATGAAGTTTATAAATCTGTAGATCATGAAGTTTCTAAATCTATAGATCATGAAGTTTCTAAATCTATAGATCATAATATTTCTTAATCAGTAGATTATAGAATTTCTAACGTTGTTTTTAAATCTATAGATAGTTAATTTACTAAATCTGTGAATCATGAAGTTTCTAATTCTATAGATCATAAAGTTTCTAATTCTGTGGATCATAAATTTTCTAAATCTGTAGATTAAGAAGTTTTAAATGAGTAAATAATTGATTTTCTAAGTCTGTAGATCATAATGTTTCTAAATCTGTAGATCATGAAGTTTCTAAATCTATAGATCATGAAGTTTCTAAATCTGTTTATCATGAATTTTATAAATCTGTAGATCATGTAGTTTCTAGATCCATAGATCATGAAGTTTCAAAATCTGTAGATCATGAAGTTTATAAATCTATCGTCCATAAAGTTTCTAATTCTATAAATTATATAGTTTATAAATCTGACGATTATGAAGTTTTTAAATCTGTAAAATATGAAATTATAAATCTGTAGATTAAGAAATTTTAAATCAGTAAATAATTGATTTTCTAAATATGTAGATCATAATGTTTATAAATCTGTAGATCATGAAGTTTCTAAATCAGTAGAATTTGAAATTCGAAATCTAAATCTGTAGATTAAGAAGTTTTAAATCTGTAGATAATGAAATTCTAAATCTGTAGTTCCAGAAGTTTCTAACTCTTGCATAATGTAAGTATTTAGTTTTCTAATTGTATAATTACATTAAGCTTTTTAAAACTGTTCTTACATATTTTATGATTACTTTTTTAATATGTAATGATAATTAGGTAAACTAGTATAAAACCCATTGAAAAATTGTCAAGACGACATTTTATAAATTCTTTCGATGTCGCCCAAGTTCTGGTTTAAACTGTTCATCCTTGTATACAGGAGCCCTGTCTTAAACTCAACCTGGAGATACACAGTGCAAAGAATCTCATAGGAAAAGATATTTCAGGTAATACTTGAACTGGTTCGGATCATGCAACGATCCTTGCCATGTGCCCCCTTATCCTCCCCCTTTATCTTTAAGGGACCGTAAAGGAAAAATGAAAGAGGGTAAATGCTGAAAGCTAATAACCACTTTGGCTCTTGATCGCGACCCATGAAAGTTATATCTGATGTTCATGTCTCGAGATATTGATAAAAAACTTTGTCAAATTTATACGAAAATTCATATATATATATATATACAATTTTGGTATAGAAATAGTAGGTTTAAACAGATCATATTCAGCAAATATGCAACCAATCTGAAAACGACGAAATCCCAGAGAAACCTAATAGACATAATTGATAATGTAATTAATAAGTCCGTATTACGTCACCAGAACTCCTGCCAATGGTAATGCAGTATAGTGGTCACGTGTCTCTGTCTGTACGTGACCAGTATACTGCACTCTCATTGGTGGAATTCTTGTGACTTAATATGGACTTATAAGTAATTTTTTCAATTGTATATATTAAAGATAAAAATAAAAGCTATAAAATTACAATTTGAGCAAACCAAAAGTTACAATTTGCTTCCTCTGGAATATCTTTGTCTCAGATTGGTTGAGAGTTGCTGAAAAAAACATGGGAATTCAGTGACGAATTCGATATCGTCTTTGTTATGAATTCGCATTTTAATACCTAATTTCAAAAGCCATAATAGTATTATGTCTGCTAGAGTTTATTCTATGAAAAGGGTAAAAGACTGTAAAGATGTGTCTATAATGTCTCCACAAGATGAACAGTGAAGACGGACAAGTTTACTCTGTTTGTATACTGCAATTTTCTTGTTTTACTAAGTACAACCGTATGCAGTCAAAACATGAACAAACAAAATGTGAAAAGCAGACGAAATTCTTACAGATTAAAGCTTTCTCAGTAGGCATCACTAAACTAAATCAAAGAATTATTTAAAAAGACGATATCGAATTCGTCACTGAATTCCCATGTTTATTGGGAACCCCTGTATATGAATTTTCGTATAAAATTAACGGCTACCTGTGATTTTATTTTAAAAACGAATAGAAATAACCATTAACCAAACGGCCTGAAAAAAATGGAACGTGTCCAGCCCTAATGAGATGTATGTTTTATTTACCCATAAAGTTAAAACTGCAATTACGACCCAAAACACTTAAAATATGACGATTTATTTTATCTAACTTTATTATCATACTTTGTGGGAAACTAAAGCTCTTTGCTCATATATATGGGTACCCTGGGGGTAACATAGGCTTAACAAATTAGTTTTTTTACTCAAAAATCAATCTTTGTTTAAAATTCAAATTTTTCTTTTAATTTCACGGACAACGCCAGCACTTCAGCTAGTCTTTAATATGGTAATTTTTTAGGGAATAGTGACCCGTTTTGTACGTTTTACCTCAGCTCGAACCCTCTAGCTAGGTAATGATTATTATGGTGTCTATAGATAAAATAAATATCCAATTAAAGCTCATATATATATATTTATATTTGTTTATTTATCTGTTAGCTATAGCGGGCCAAACGGCTGGACCAAATTGGTGAAATTAAACTTTATCTTCAAAAATCGATTTTTTGTAAGTTCACGGGCAAAGCCGAGCATTTTAGCTGTTTATATCCATTTTTTCACATTTAACACTGGTAACTTTAAGAACTTTTTCAAAAAGTGTTTATGTAAATACATTTTTCAAATTGGTATGCTATTGTTGACAGATTTCTAGATCAAAATATGCATAGGTTAATAACAATACAAATAGAACACTAGATGTCGTCTTTTCAAGATGTATTGGTTTTTCGTTCACAATAACACTGAGGCAGAGCAAAGGAGTTACGTGCTCTGTCGCGCATACTCTCCCTCTGTCTTATCATTTAACACATGCAGCAAGCACGTTACGGAAAACAAATATTTAACCGTATAAAGGCTGGGGTTCTGAATCTATGTATAGCCTAGGGAAGGGTCGTCCCACGCCCCACCTAGAAAAAGGCCTTAAGATGTTCATAGCAAAATTTTTCTAGGCTGCTCATAAAAAAAAATGTAGACCGATAACTTTAATAGTTTGGGTACTAGGAATTTATCCCTGCAAACATTTAGTCTCCGAAAAACCGACGGCGAACATATAAAGTCCAAATTATTTACACGCCAACTTCGCCATCGGCACATAAATTCGGTAATAATGTTTCTGGAAAGGGTTGAAAAAAGTGTCAATAAGATATTTCTACATCCATTTTTCAAGGGCTTTTCAAAAATATACTTTTTAGATCTTTAACTTTAGTCACAAAAAAAGTTATGGGCTATTCTAGATTTTTTTTATACACAGACTGGACTTTTTACCGCCCTTTTTACAGTGATATCTTTTCGCAATGTTGAATGCATTTAAAAGAGTTGTTTTGAAACAAAAGTAACTTCACATGCTCCTATGATGTTATTAAAGGATTTGCTGAACGAAAAAAATTTGACATTCTGTAAATTGTAAATCTTGTCAGGTTTCATTTTATGAGAATGCTCTTGGGAATTTTCCAATGAGGAAATTATTGATGGAAATCTAAATAAGATAAAAAATATGGCCGTAAAAGATATTGTGCTGAAAACTAAAAAAAGAGATTCTATAACGCAAATCTTAAAATGTTTTGCTTCTGTCATCACCTATCGATCCAAAATACAGGCGACCTTTAAAGAGAGTGTTCGCGAAAAATGAAAGGGGGTATAGGCTTAATGCGATAAAAAAGCGCTTTTTATCGCTACTAATCTTACTTCTATCTGTTGCGTCTAAAAAGAGAAAATTGTTAAAGACGTCTCATACCGAATATAACTTAGCGCCCAAACAAATTAGACCGTAAAAAAATCAATTTAATTTCAAACAAATCATTCAGATATTACAACTTATATATAGTCATCGATTATCTTTCGCCACATTTGTATATAGTTCATATTTCTTAATTAATTTTATTTTTTTAGAAAACGGTTTAACGGATTTCGAAAAATGTGAGTAGTGCGCGGCATTCTTAGATAGTTGCGCAAGCGACAAGAGAAATAATCAAGTTCAAAACAAATTAATTTAAAAATATTACAAAATATAAACTTTATACAAATGGGGCGAAAGATAATCTATGACTATAGGCTGTAATATCTGAATGATTTGTTTGAAATTAAATTGATTTTTTTACTGTCTAAGTCATATGTTGCAATTCTCTGAATTTGTTTGGGCGCTAAGTTTGTTAAAATTAATTCGAAATATAAGGAAGACGATTTTTCCGACTCAAATGCCCCAGCCTTTTCTCTAGATGTATGTGTACTCAAATCCATTTCCTCCTCATGTAGTGCCCACATGTCGAATCTCCGCTCATCCCAGCTCCCTCCCGGTATTCAGTCTCAGTCATGTTAGGACAGTTGAACTAGTAACAGCTCCGACACAGGGAGCCTCTTGACTCCTTTATGATGATGACGCAGATACTCAGATAGCAGCAGACGCTCTTACCCGAAGGGTTCCCAGTTCATCATGCATTCCAGAGACAACATAATCGCTCATAGCCAGCATGACAAGCCGCGATTTCTGCCTACTAGGTTGGATAAGTCCTGTTGTTCAAGATCCTGTTGATCTGCTTCACCAACATGAAGATCTACATCACTCCCATGAAGTACCCACAACATTCATCATTAATTCCTTTGTTAATTTCTAAATCAACCAATTTTAACTCCGCCTTAAATGCAAATATTTCAAAACACTTTCGTTTTAAATAAATGTTAGAAATATCCATTTTAGATCTCTTTATTTTATTATAGTGACTTTTCAAGTCAACAAAGTTATATTCGGTATGAGACGTCTTTAACAATTTTCTCATTATAGACGCAACAGATAGAAGTATGATTAGTAGCAATCAAAAGCGCTTTTTTATCGCCGTAAGCCTATACCCCCTTTCATTATTCGCGAACACTCCCTTTAATTACGGAAATCAAAATTTGAAATAAAACATTTTTAGCAAAAAATATCTTCACCATCTTTGATTAATTAAAATATAATTTTCCATATTTATTTTTAATTTTTAGGAATAATACGTCGTACAAGCCTAGAACCCTTAATCCAACCTGGAATGAGGAGTATGCTCTGTAAGTTGGATTCTCTTTATTTATTTGTATTAAGTAGTAATCTTTGTTTTTAAACCTTTTCATAGCTTTTCAGATTTATTTCATAAGCATTTATCTATTTGTATTAAGTAGTAATCTCTGTTTTTTAAATTTTTTTATTGTTTTTTTTCAGATTGATTTCATAAGCCTTTATCTATATGTATTATTTATTTATATGTATTGAGTAGTAATCTCTGTTTTTAAACCTTTTCATAGTTTTTCAGATTGATATAAACCTTTATTAATATGTATTAAGTAGTAATCTCTGTTTTTAAAACTTTTTTACAGTTTTCAGATTGGTTTCATAAGCCTTTATTTATATGTATTAAGTAGTAATCTCTGTTTTTAAACCTTTTTATAGTTTTTCAGATTGATATAAACCTTTATTTATATGTATTAAGTAGTAATCTCTGTTTTTAAAACTTTTTATAGTTTTTCAGATTGATATAAACCTTTATTTATATGTATTAAGTAGTAATCTCTGTTTTAAAACTTTTTATAGCTTTTTTATGATTTTTTCATAAACCTTTATTTATGAACCAGTTTTTGGGACACAAAAAATATCTACTGAAAAATTTGGTTAATAGTCCATGAAAACAACTTTTATTATGTTTTGGCTTTACACTTTTAGATCCGAAATTAATTATGGATACTTTTAGCGTCCAAAAAAACGAAAATTGGTTTAAACTCGGCTTCTACTGTTTTTATTAGAGACCTATTTTGGATTTTGAACAGTTATTGTACTCATGTACTTTATATTCAGGGATGTAAACAGTATATGTACTATATGTACCTTATATTCATTACATTGTAAACAATATATGTACTCTATATACTGTATATTCAGGGATGTGAACAGTATTTGTACTCAATGTACTGTATATTCAAGGATGTAAACAATATATGTACTCCATGTACTGTATATTTGGGGATGTAAACAGTATATGTACTCTATGTACTGTATATTCATTACATTGAAAACAATATATGTACTCTATGTACTGTATATTCAGGGATGTAAACAATATATGTACTCTATGTACTGTATATTCAGGGATTTTAACATTATATGTACTTTATGTATTGTATATTCAGGGATTTAAACAGTATATGTACTCTATGTACTGTATATTCAGGGATTTAAAAACTATTTGTACTTTATGTATTGTATCTTCAGGGATGCAAACAGTAAATGTACTCGATGTATTGTATATTCAGGGATGTAAGCAGTACATGTACTCGATGTAATGTATATTCAGGGATGTAAACAGTATATGTACTTTATGTACTGTATATTCAGGAATGTAAACAGTATATTTACTCCATGTACTGTATATTCAGGGATGTAAACAGTATATGTACTCTATGTACTGTATATTCAGGGATGTAAACAGTATAGAACAGGATCAGTTAAGACTGGATGTTTGGGATTTCAACCCTGAGGAAAATGTTACAGAAAAGTTTAAAAAGATCAATGAGGTATTTCTTTCGGAGGGTTTGCAGTGAAAACCAGAATAATCTGGAATAGGAAGACGACTTTTAAATTTAACAAACCAGTTTATCTCAATAACTGATTTAGGTTTTTTAAACAACAACATTAAATACACTTGCTTTAGTGTCGTCGTCCTATTCCATAGTTTTCTGGTTTTCTGAAAGTTTCTCAGGTTGATTCTCCCCCTAGAGCANGACAAATTTCTGGTAACTAACAATTTGGTAACATACAAATTTGGTAACATGCAAATTTGGTGACTAGCAATTCGGTAACAATAGCAATATGGTAAAAAGCAATTTGATCAGTAGAAATTTGATAACTAGCAATTTGGTAACTGGCAACTTGATAACCAGCAATTTGATAACTAGCAATTTGATAAAACACACATTGTTAAGTTAACTTGACAATTTAGTAAGTGATATTTTGGTAAATATGGTAACCTCAAAACCTGACATATTTCAAAAACATTTTTCAAGACCAAAAAATGTTGCAACAAGTTATTGTAAAAATTTAAAATCAAAATTTTAAAACAGAAAGTACTGTATTTTTTCAGGTGAAAGATGGCCGAGGGTTGAGAAAACTTATAAAGGAAATATTCTATTTAAAAACAGAATCTAAAAGATAAAGTTTGAAAAACAAATTCTCCAGAAAATAAAGAAATAAATTTTTCAGATATTTATTTTTTCTCTCTTCATTTTGCAGAAAATTTGAATAATTAATTAGGAGACATTAGTTGCCACTACTGGGAAACATACTCATGCTCTTTTAGGCAGTGTTCAGGTATAATTTGTTTTCATTATAAATATTATTATTATTATTATTATTATTTTTATTATTATTATTATTATTGTTATTGTTATTATTATTATTATTATTAGATAAGTTTGAAAAGTATCCCTGCTAGTGGTGTAAGTGGATGGTGGAATTTAGAGAAACCAGAAACAAGGTGATTATCCATGAGTTTAACCATAGATAAATAACAATACAGATTGTACACTAGATGTCGTCTTTTCAAGATTAAGGAGTTTTTAGTTCACAACAACCCTGATTCAAAAGCCCAAAGGAGTCGCGCGCATGCTCTCTCTATGGTTCGTAATTCATTTTGTTCAAACAAGAATAAGTGTTGCTATTTCATATGACACTTATGTTCCGAATACAAGTGTTGTATAGAAATGGGCATAGTTTTTTTTTGTGTGTGTTTTTTTTGGGGGGGGTGTTTCACTTTTTAGAGGCTCCACAAGAATCTTATTTATTTTGTTGTGTAATATTTGATTTTTTTTGGGGGTTATTTGTAACAGACTAATCACAGTTTCGGATTTTTTTATGCTCTCTATAAGCTTGCATTAGTAACTTATCATGATATGAGATCTTGACATACGAGATTTCAAAAAATATTTTGGTTTTGCAAGAGGTGAGAATATCTCAAAATAATTATAGCAAGCTTAGCTACTAAAAGAGCCTTTTAAAAGTCTGAAAAAAATGTTATACTGATACAAATGATTATGATAAAAATTTGACTTTTTATAACTTTGGAACAATAAACTCGATTACACATTTTTTTTTTGTATATTTTGATGGTTATTATATCGTTAGAACTGACGAGGGTCAACCCAGACCAAAATATATTTTCAATAAATGTGGAACTAACATCTACTTTTTTACTCTACAGAGGTTTGGTCCATCACCATCACCGAATTTTAAATCATTTATTTCTATTTTCCCCAAGGAAAAAATTGGGACATTTATATTTCCTTTAATTCAATTGATGTGTCCTTTTGTCACAAATTGATAATTTCTGTTAGAATTAAATGGAAAGGGGGAATTAATAAAAATCCTTTATATCAAATTTTTTCAAAATTCAGGGGGGGGGTTCTTTTCTTGCACCAAATCATAGAAGGAAGGGGGGGGGGTCTTTTCTTACACCAAATCATAGAAGGAAGGGGGGGGGGGGCTTTTCTTACACCAAATCACGGCCCGCTGATATGTATGCTTCTATCTACCGATCTATACTATTCTGGGCTAGTGTACATGTAACTTTGTCGGTGGGTTACACAGCTGTTATATCTCAGTGGACCCTAGATATTTTTAGGAAATTTCTAAAACACCTGCAAAGCAAATTTTAGGTTTTACTATAACAAATTTCTATTCTGGCTATTGTTCATTCTATAAAAATAATTTGTCAGGGTCCAAATTAGAGAAGAACTTTGGTAGATTGTGGGCCCTGGAGTAAGCAGAAATCAGATACTGCAGCTAAAATCTTGTTAACCTAGCATTTTCTTCAAAGAGTTGGTAGCATCACAGGCGCCTTGTTTTCAGAATTCCAAATTGTGGTCTGCCGTTTTTGTACCTTAAGAATTGACCAAGATATTGAGAAATTTGTTTAAAATTTAAAATATTAAATATCAGCAAGGTTGTTTAAATCTTTAGTGTCTCCAACAATTTGTATAATACAAAGAAGGAGGCTAAATCTTATCAAGTTTTAAAGACTTACAATGTTTTTCTATACTCCTTTGACATCTAATAACTTTACGAACACCAACGACAAATTGTAAGTTCCTGGGTCCAATGTCTAACGTACTGCATAACACCCCAGCGAAAAAATTACATCAAACCTTGACTATGATATATCCATTCTATTATATATCCATGCACCAAATCATAGAAGAAGTTTTTACACTAAATCATTATTTGCATTTTCTAAATAGAAAACAGAAGGAGCGGGGAGAAGTCAGGCTTACCCTCACTCTTAGCACAGAAAAGGAAAATCAGAATTTTCATTTTTCGTTGAATTATTCATTGTGTCATTACAGCATATACAGAATATTAAAATATCTAAAAGCACCTATCAACGTAATATCAAGCTACACGTAGAATTGGGTTTCCGATTTCATTCAACCCTTTGATTGCGCTAAACGATTAAGTAATGTTTGTTTTCCAGCGTTGAAATCATTAAAAATGATTGAAATTATGTCTATAAGCTGCTGCATGCAAAGTTTCTTTCTAAAAGTTTAAATTATGCTGTTTGACTATTATAATGAATTCCAATTCAAGTTTGAATCTTGTGTCTGCAAACAACTTATAAGTTTGCTGACTGTTTGAATGAGAACATTAGAAGTTTGGAAGATTTAGCGCCAGGAATTAGGGCTGGACATATTCTAGAATTTTTAATAACTTTAAACAAACAAAGGGTTCGAAGGAACCCAATCTCTAATTTACAATACGTTTGCAACCTGTTTACAGTTTAATCTGGAAGAATTCATTGTTTGAAATATCAAAGTTTTTAACATTGGTTTAAAGTGTTTAGCACCTTGAGAAATATTTCCCGGGGTTGACGAAAAAAAAGCATATTATTATTTTTTTTTTAAATGGTTAATAACTTTTTTATGAATTAAGCTACAGGGCTAAAATTTATATATTTTTAAATCTTCCCGTACACTTTAACCATCAAAGATAAAGATCAATTTTTTTTTATGAACAGACCTTGAAAAGTTGGACTAGGGACAGGTATCACACTCCCATATTTCGATCAACTCGACGGGCAAAATAGTAGCAGAGGGGGGGATGGAAAACATTTCACCCCCCGTCTACAGGGTGTGTCAAAAAAAGTGTGAAATGCGGCGCCTGGTGCAAAATTGGAACTTATTTTTGCCACTGTCCTGTATGGTGTTTTTTTAACATTTTTTTAAATTTAAATTTTTTTTTGGTATTCCAAAAAATTCTGCGAACTTTTTTCTCTCAAAATTAAAAGAGCAGAAAATTTGCATTATTAATTTCTAGCCTAATTATTGAGGAAAGTTGTTTTTTCGATGGTTTTTTTGTTTTTGCGAATTTTCTGTGCTTCTGTGATTCAATCTTTACCAAATTTTAGATTTCGATTGTGATAATTTGTATTCACAATTTTGCTTTTCTTGACTTTAATTTTTAAAAGAAAAAGGTTCGCGGATTTTTTTTTTGAGCCATTAAAATACCAAAAAAAATAAAACTTTTCAAAAAATATTGAAAAAAACCGTACAGGAGAGTTACACAAAAAAGGTACAATTTTGCATTTGGCGCCGCAAATAACATTTTTTTACTCATCCTGTATTTTAGACCAAAAAAGCCCATTCGGGATAGAGTTAATAATATTCACTGTTAATATGTTTGAAATGAAAGCGTTTTTCATTCTTTATATTTTTTACATTTTGGTCAAATATCAGCTGGATGAAATTTTACATGATCTTTTTCTAGAAACTTTCAAAGTATTATATTCATACCTAAATAACTATAAGTCATTGGGATTTTTTACATTTTTTATCCAATTATTCTAAAGTCTATCTGCCTATGAATAAAAATTAAAATGATCCTATATTAATTTTTCCAGTACATGGGGTATTGGGCTGGTTATTTGGCAACATTTTACCCATAAAAAATACATTGTGCAACATTAATCCATAAACTGCTGGATATATAGAATATTTCCTAAACTTGCATACACACAAATACAGTCAAAATTAAATTCTTAAATAATAAATAGTTAAATTATGAGAATGATGTCAATTACTTTTGTTTCGTTGAACACAATGATCTGATCTCACGCACCTCTGCCCCTTTCGTAAAAGTAAATTGAACATTTATAAAGCATAAAGTCTGACCACGTCAACCTTGTTGCATCGGCTAGTCCTGTCCATAGAGCTAGGCACAGTACAAACTGGGACCGGAAAGGTTGACCCGGCTCGGAAATTAAAATGTACTACGGCTGCCCGTGAACTGGACAATAGGAGAATTAAGGTCTCTGCAAAAGTACATTTACCATAAACCATTGCAGCTACTCTAGGTTTGATTTTATTTTTTAAAAAGTAAATTTTTTAGTTATACTTCTGCTAGAAGTTAAACACATTTGAGTTCTTCTCAATAGCTTTTTATAAGTGTAGTCATCATTGAAAACATGTAAGACTTCAATTTAAGGTACAATTTTACATAATAGTTTAACTTATAATACAGGTAACTAATCCATCTTTACTTTTTGTTTCTTTCACCAGATAACTTCTATCTCCTTATTCTATTAGTTCTCAATCTTTGAAATCTTTAAATTCAAGAAAGGAAATTCTGATTTGTTGAGATAGGATCCTAACTTGTCCTCACAGGAACATAGACATCTGCTGAAGATCATGTTTGCCTACCAACTTCAAATATCTAATGTAAGTATACATAATAGATTCACATTGATAGATTCTATTATTCATACACAGGGTTTTATTTATTAAATAACTAGCAGAAGGGCCCGGCGTTTCTTCGAACAAACTTGAAAAATCGATAGTTATTTAATAAACAAACGATTTTAAAAAAAAAAAACTTTAAAAAACGACTTAACGGAACAAACGATCTCACTGAACAAGCGATTTTACCGAATGAACGATCTCCATAAACAGAGGATTTAGTTGAACGATCGTTTATTTAGAAAATGAACAAAATAGACGGAAAATGACTGAAAAAAACGAAATGGGTCGTTAACAAATGATGAACGAACTATGAAAACAAAAACAAAACATGCCTATCCCTACACATACCCAAAGGAAACATCTTTTTGTCTAATATTCAAAAAAGAAATATCGTTTTCTATTTCAAACAAGAAATTTTTCGCTTTTTTACAAGCTTGAAATACTGGTTTAGATTGAATCCAAATATGTGGATATAAAAATCTAGAGAGAAAACGTGCCAAGAATTCAAGTTTGTTTATATTTATTAAAAAATCCAATATTTGCCAGGAGGAGGATGCCACTTTCAAATTAATAAATTTTTAACTGAAAAGGACTGTATGCTTAATTTCAAGTGACCCTCCATGTAAGGGGGATAATGCCTGATTCATAACTTCTAGTTGTACCCTTAATACCTTTGTGAGTTCGTAGCTTACAAGCGGGTTTTGATAAGTTTACACACACATATCTCTTTACCCGACGAACATACAAAGAGTTTATATAGTCTATGTTTAGAATATTAAAATTTTATACCATCAGACTGAAAAGATAATTTGAATTTTTAAATTATCTTTTCTAGGCTGCCCCATATACCTGGAATGGAGAATTTGCCCGTGAATCCGTGATAATACTTTCCCAGCATGCTGTTCAAGGGAAGCTGACCGGGGCAGATACTGCGCTAGCCAGGTAATAAAGCAGGTTTAAAGGATATCATGGTCCCAGCATGCTGTTCAAGGGAAGCTGACCGGGGCAGATACTGCGCTAGCAAAGTAATAAAGCAGGCTTAAAGGATATAATAGTCCCAGCATGCTGTTCAAGGGAAGCTGACCGGGGAAGATACTGCTCTAGCCAGGTAATAAAGAGGATTTAAAGGATATAATGGTCCCAGCATGCTTTTCAAGGGAAGCTGACCTGGGCAGATACTGTGCTAGCCAGGTAATAAAGCTGGTTTAAAGGATTAATAGTCCCAGCATGCTGTTCAAAAATATAATTTTATTGAAGTTTACAATAAACTACTCATTATCAAACTTAATTGTAATTGACGACATTGTTCTGCAATTTCCTTGACTGTAGTATGTTGTGTGTCTAAACCAAAATAGTATGCATGTGTAATAACGAACTCGTCGGCAAAGCAGTGCGTTTGGCTTTTGCATGCCAATCCAGCGCTATTTTCCTTCCCTTTATTCTTGTTCCTTGGGTTTTTCTGATAGTGCAATTTCCTAATATAAATATTCCAGTTAACTTATGAATGTTTCTAGATGGTTAGTTTACTGTCATACACACTGTGATCTTCCATTAGACTACAGGTACCATAAATTCTTTCATCAATCATATGTAACGTATTTATTTAAAAATAATAAAGACAATTTGACAGTTTTGGACATTTCTGCATCAAAATTGAAAGTTTTGCATGTAGCCTTTAAATGTGGTTGATCTACACTAATCATGATACCTGACAAGACTCATTTTTTCCACCGAAGTTCATTGGCAAAGAAGGATACTTGGAATCCAGGTTCTTTATTTGGGTTGTTCACTCTCGATGTGCTCCTATGTACGGAAAATGTCGTCTCCTTAGCATGAATAGATAGAATCCTTATATGACGTCACGCTTGCCTCTATAATCAATGACATTATATGAGCATTGTATCTATATATATATATGCTAAAGAGACGACATTTTCCGTACATCGAGAGTAACTTAAGTTATTAACCCTATCACTGCTGGGGTACTTGAAAACCAGGATATGCTGGGTGGGGGTCAATTTGACCCCCACCCCTCCTCTAATTCCCGTGTTTGACATATGACAAATGATACATCATTAGAAAGCTCTTGTGCTCTACTTTTAGAATCTGCAAAAAAATTTGCAAATTTGCAAAAATTGAATTTTTTATCGCAAAATCCAGTTATATAGTAAAAATGTTTGCCAAAAAAAAGTTTGTCCAAAAAATAAAAAATTATACATTTTTGAAAAGCCCTTGACCATGTCATTTCAAATATGCAAAAATTTTTGCAAAATTTTAAATAACCTGGTTTTTTATCAAAAAAACTAAAAATGTGCAAATTTCCTTTGACAGGTTGTTTGCAAAAAATTTGCAATTTTTTTTCGCAATTCGTTTCCTTATGTCAAAGGCTTTCAAAAAAGCTAAATTTTATCAAAATCTGAAAAGTTGAAGTAGGTCAAATCAAAGATTTAGTTTGTTACAGGAAAAAGCAGTCAGTCAGGCAGTATGCCTGAGGACTCAGGCAGTTAGTATTAAAGCCGGGTTTTAGGCCTGAAAGGAGGGCTTTGGGTTTGTAGGAAAAGTCAGAAAATTTCAACAGCCTCAGACCAATACTTTTTGAGTTATGTAAAAAAAAACTACAGGGGGGGGGGTCAAATTGAACCCCCCCCCAGCAGGAATAGGGTTAAAGAACCTTGCTTGGAATAGAATCTTATCAGAGAGAAAAACAGCACAAACTAATGATTTGAAAATTGACATACTAAATATTATGAGGGAAAATGTGTACATTTTTCCTATCTTTGAGGTCTTAAAGTCAAAATAGATGAACACAATTGTAGGCTACATTTCAGCCTTCTATCTTAATTTTAACCCAATGATAATTTGTATATTGATTAAAAACTATAAGGGTTAGAAAGCTAAATTTTTTTTACTTTTCCTGAAAATATAAATTTATAAATGTTATCTTTAAAACTACGGATTTAC